GCTTTGGGTGTTTGGGCCTCCCAGTACCAAGGTTCTTCCATCTTTGGTTCTGGATGGGGTGCCTCTGCCCCAGACAGACCTGGTGTGCAATCCGGGGGTCCTCTTGGACTCAGGGCTCCTGCTGGAAGAGCAAGTGGCAGCCGTGGCTAAGAGGGCCTTTGCACACCTTTGGGTTGTGCATCAGTTGTGCCTATTCCTTGACCAGGAGGCTCTACTCACTGTCACTCATGCCCTCGTGACCTCCCGTTTGGACTATTGCAATGCACTTTACATGGGGTTGCCCTTGAAGAGCATTTGGAAGCTTCAGCTGGTACAGAATGCAGCTGCCCAGGTTGTAAATATTGTCGGTTACTCAGCACATGTAACACCACTGCTTCGGGAGCTGCATTGGTTGCCGATGTGTTTCTGGGTGTAATTCAAGGTGCTGGTTGTCACCTATAAAGCCCTTCATGGCTTGGAACTGGGTTACCTTAGGGGCCGTCTTTTCTCAGTTGTTTCTACCCGTCCAATCCGGTCTGGCAGGTTGAGCATGCTCCAGGTCCCATCAGCCAAGGAATGTCAGCTGGCGGGGACCAGGAGACTTGCTTTTCTGCTGTGGCACCTGCCCTCTGGAACATCCTCCCTCCTGAGATTAGGATGGCCCCGACCCTTCTGGCTTTTCGAAAGGCCTTGAAGGCCTGGCTTTATGCCTGGGCCTGGGTTTCATGGTTGTGCTGATACCAACGGTTTTTTAAGATCTCTTGGCTGCATTTATATTTATATTTAATTTTTTGTAGTGTTTTAAATGTTGACTTTTTATTGTTGTTAGCTGCCCAGAGTCACTGGTCTGAGATGGGCGTCTGTCTGTCTGTCTGTCTCTGTCTATCATATTTATATAGCCCATCTCACACAAGGTGATGCAATATAAATAGAATAAACAAACAAATAAATAAATAAAATGAAGTTGCTCTGAGCTCAGAATGCTTTTCTGCATATTGATAGAGAAAGGGAGAGGGAGAGGGAACAGCTAACTTAATAAGGAAAACTGAAGATATGTCTTGGAAGTTAATGCTTTGTAGTGCATGCATTTTTAGTACCCCAAGAGTTTATAACCCAATGATACTCAACTTTAATGTGTGTTTAAAAATAAAAGCAGAACTTTTCAATCCAAAAAATGAAATAGAAGTATCAAAAGCTGAAAGAATATCACAGAAGGGGTGGATGGAACAATTTAAGCAATTTTGTCAGTCCGACTAGAACACATATTTATCCATCTAATTCTCATTATGGTGAGCAGTCTGTTTCTGGGCTGTATAATTTGGGGGCTGAACTATAAACATAAGTACAGAAGGCTTACTTTGCATAATTTCAGTCTTGTTAATTTGCATATCTTGTACAAGTAATTGAAAGGTGTTGTAAAGAAAGTCTCAACGTGAGCCCAGAAATATACCTTCTCACCCTTTAATCAGAAAAACCTTTGCAAAACACACTTAACTGAGTAAAATTGTCTCCTGTACAGAGCAAGGTGGGAAATTGTAGCTTATTTGATTTCAGTGAAGCCCACTAGATATATTAGTAGTTGTACTACTGAATTTCACTCTGTCTAAATGTTATGAACCTGCTTCTCTTTTAGGGTGTTGGCTGGTGGAGGTATGAATTCTGCTACGGCAAGTACGTGCATCAGTATCACAAGGTATATATAAAAAATCATTGGCAGTCTCTACCACTAGATGGCCACAGGTTCCTGTTTTTTGTCCATAAAGAAGAATGTGAAAGTACAGATTTGAAGTTCATAAATTCACTCTTCCCTTTATTATTGGGATATATAGAGATGGAACACAGGAATTTACCTAACACTGTATCAGACCTTTGGCCCATCTAACTGTGTTCCACCCTGGAGGTGATCTGTTCAGCACTGCATGTGGATAACTGCCTGGCTTGGGACCCAAAATGGGCAGGAACATTCATTTGCCACCCCTCCCCCCCCCCTTTTTTTGGTCTTTTTCATATTTCCTCCCAGGGAGTAAGGTAAGGGGAAGGGGATAGATTATTCTTATTTTTATCCATTTTTATTGTACATAGTATCTTTCCTCCTCCCCTTTCATCTCAAATCTTTTTCAAGACTATTTTGGCCAGAAATATGAAAGGTTCTTGAAAATACTTTCCCTCTCATTTCTGTCCATTTCGGATTTTCTCTGTTTATCCCCTCCTGCATTTATCTTCTCTTTGGGCATTCCCATCAGAATGAAATCAATCCAAGAACAACAGGTTGCTCATCCCTGGCCTTCATTAACTGAGAGCAGTCCTTTGGGGTTTCAGAGAGAAATCTTCACCCCCACCCCCAAAGACAGAATCTGGGACCTGCTCTATGCAAAACACATGCAGCTGCACAAAGCTATAGCTGCACGAGGCTCATGCTATAATAAAGCTAGACCAATATTCAGTTAAATGCCTTGTCGTATCTCTGATATTGTCAACCCAAGATGAGCAAAGTAGTAGCTAGGCATAAAAGCAGTGTAGCATTTGGGTGGTTAGATGTGCTATTTTAATTCTGCCTCATAATGTTATAAATGCTAAGAATGGACTATTGGATACTTGCTATGAAAGTTTATTTCAGTTTGTTTTGATGGAGGTGTCCAAGCACTGGTTAATCATTCCCACTGCTCAGGAGGAAAGGGATCACATGACTTAAAGTCTCCTATTATATGACCCATTCCTGGATCCTCCTTCCTGTTCTCATTCAGCCAACCCCACTGTACTAAGAATAGTGGAACATGCTCATCAAGACTTAAATAAACAAAAGAAAAAACAGACTTATCATTTGTCAAAAACACTGAAATTTAGTAATAAGGGAAGGCTGGCTGAAACCAATTGGGTTTTTGCCATATGGAAACTGTCATAACAGCATGAATATTGATTATTGTCTACCTCAGAATTTCTGTTTAGGGTGGTATAAAATACAGAATTATGTGTGACTTTTTAAATAAATTACCAAGAAAATATATTACTTTTTTTAGGATAAAGAAAATGGCAAAACAACTATAGTTGTGGGCACATGGAACAAAGAGGAACACCTTGAATGGGCACAAAAGAATGTAGCTAGAACATATCACCACAAAGATGACGGCCTGCAAACAGTCAAGTATGCACAAACTGGTTTCAAATGTTGGCCTAGAGAGCGGGTTGCTGCTTTGTTGTAGTAGTTGTTAAAATCAGTGTAGATTGCAGGTGATTTTTAAGCCCCAGTTATTTTTAGTATTCAACTCGGGCTGGAATCTTTAGTGTTGCATAATATTGTATCCCATGCTTTTAAATTGTAGAATTTCCTTCATTTTATCTTTGTTACTAAGCCAAAAAAATATTTTATCAGCCCACCTGTGG